CCACCCCCCCCCACCAAGAGTCAGGCTGTGCAGAAGCTGGACCCGCCCAGCCCACCGCACAGAGAGAGTCTGGGGGCACATACGAAGCTTCGGTGAGCGCGGTGAGTCTGGGGTCTTGCTGCGGGTTCGGTCTCGACCAGTAGATGAGGTTAATGCTGTGACCAGAAAGCCCACACGGAGAACGGGAGAGGAAGCGTGTCAGCTGCGTGTGTTTCTGTCTGATGTGACACCAGGTGATAAGGACCACTCAATGCTTTCCTGCATCCCCATCGTCCTCCCGGAAGAGAAGCACAGAACAGACCCAGGACAGTCGGGGTGGCGTCGGGGGTGAAGAGCTGGAAGGACTCTCGGGGCGGGTCCGTGGTCTGCCGGGAGCCCTGACCTCCGGGAGTTTGCAACGTTCCCACACCCTCCTCGCCGCCCTCCCGCGGGGCAGCTGATGTATTTCAAACAGGAAGCTCTTTGCAGATAAGGCTGCAGCCTGATTTGCTGGGCAGCCTGACAGCCGGGCCCCGCTCGCCTGGCCTGTGGGGCTCAGCGGCCTCTGTAAATAGCAGCCATGAGGCTCCCGGGTGCAGTGTCCTCGTGGGTCCCCGACGGTCAGGACGCCCCCTTCGCCTAGCGTGCGCTGCAGGTAGGGACACTCTGCCGGGTGACCTGGCGGTCTTGGAGGGCAGGACGGGGGTCACCTGGTCAAGGCGAGGTTCCGGGTACGGCCAGAGATGGGAGAACAGACGGGAATCTGTTCTTAGGTCCCCACAAATGATGGGGGTGTCACGTGAAACAGGCACTAGAATTCCACCGTTTTGTTAATTCACCAGTTCATGGTGGAAACTTCCCGGGGATAACTGACGACGACCTAGGGCTGCCGGCTACCAGACGGTTGGGGGAGGCCTTCTCAGCTCTGCACACGTTCAGAGAGGTGGGGCAGCGAGTTTCCGAATCGCCAGTCGCAGCGTGGGGCCGCACGGACAACAGCAGTAACCTGTACCCGTGGCCGGTAGCTCTGTTTTGGGGTTCAGTAATGGGAATGCCAGATGTGGGCAAAGATAGGACCGGAGAAGGTCACTTTCAAGCGCAGAGAGGGTTGCCTGGTACGGAGTGGGGGTTTCTTGTCTCCCAAACTGGATGAGACATGGTGTGACGGGGGCCCTTCCTGGCCTGCTGGCTGTGACAACTTGGAGGCCGAAGTTAGGAGGTGCTTATGAATTTAAAAGGCAAAGTTGGAAAGCCGTGTGTGCGTAACAGGACTTCTGATGTGTAACAGGACTTTCCTGGGGGCCAGAGCCGCGCCCTGACCTCTCACGGCTATTCTGGTTCATCCACAAGCTTGAGAGGTCCGTGAGTGAGGAGAGGAGACAGAGGTCGGAGAACACGACGGGAAAAGCCTCTTACTTTGCGTGTGCCTCTCGGGTGGGCTCTGGGGAAGGACCCCTCATCAGCGTCACCGTCACCATAGGAAGCAACCCCCTCGTGGGGGTGGGGGCCCCAGTGCCCCGGTGCTCCTGGATGTGGTTCTCCGTCTATAAATGGTGGGCCCTAATGTGGATGTTTAATGAAAACGTACCACTGTACATTTGGCAGATTAAGCCACATTGTTTTCATCGTCTCCTTCATTCTTAAAAGGAACGGCGACTGAGAATTCCAAATTGCATCTCCCCTCTGAAACCCTGGCTTCCTTCACTGAAGGGAGGGTGGGAACCTCCTGGTCTCTGGCCAGGAGATAAGGATGTTATTCTTAAAGGAGGCCAGGAGCTTCTGCGTTTACAAACAGAATTCCTCTTCTCCGGGGCGGGGGAGCCAGAACCCTGGGGAAGGGGCTCCCACCCAGGGCCGCCCTGCTCTCTGCCCTGCTGATGCGCAAGCAGCGAGGGCCTCAGGGAGGCGTTCTGGCTTCCGCTGGTTCTGGGCTGTCCCCTCCCTGGGCACCTCCTTGCTGGGTAGGTGGCAAGCAAGCCGCCTCGTGTGAGGGCGGTGGGTCGGGCTGAGCAGCGTGGCTGTCTCTTGACACACCCCTTCTATCTGGAGGGGAAGTTTCCAGGTCAGCGGTTGACACCCCAAAACCTAAACCCTGTTTGCCTCCCCACATACCAGCAAATGCCCATCGGCTTCCGCACGAAAGTAGGTGTGGAACAGATGTTTGTCCTGACTCTTTTTTTTTGAGAGAGAGAGAGAGAGAGACCATGTGCAAGTAGGGGAGGGGCAGGGGGAGCGTGAGAGAGAATCCCAAGCAGGCTCCACACTCAGCAGAGTCCGATTTGGGGCTCGATCCCACAACCCTGGGATCCTGACCTGAACCCTAAATCAAGAGCTGGACACTCAACCGACTGAGCTTCCCAGAAGTTCATATCGTGACTTAAAAAACATTTTTTGGGGGGCACCTGGGTGGTTCAGTCGGTTAAGTGGCTGACTTCAGCTCAGGTCATGATCTCGTGGTTCATGAGTTCAAGCCCCGCGTCGGGCTGTGTGCTGACGGCTGGGAGCCTGGAGCCTGTTTCAGATTCTGTGTCTCCCTCTCTCTCTGACCCTTCCCCGTTCATGCTCTGTCTCTCTCTGTCTCAAAAATAAATAAATGTTTAAAAAAAATTAAAAAAAAATTTTTTTAATGGTTATTTATTTTTGAGAGACAGAGGGCAAGTGGGGGAGGGGCAGAGAGAGGGAGACACAAATCCGAAGCAGGCTCCAGGCTTCCAGCCGTCAGCACAGAGCCCGACGCGGGGTTTGAACCCACAAACTGTGAGATCATGACCTGAGCCGAAGTCAGTCGCTTAACCGACTGAGACACCCAGGCACACCGTGACTTTTTTAAAATTGAGAGATTATTGACATACAACATTACGCTATCAAACACTGTTCAGAGCTACATCCTGGAAAGAGCCAAAGCCTTTGCTTCTAAAGCAGCTAAGATCCTTGCAGTGAAGGACACACTGCAGTGACCAGGCCAGACTGTCCTTTGTTCAGAAACTGTTAGGGATTCCGGGACCCTGACGGCCGTGTGGCAGACGGACTGCGAGGCCGTGTCCACGCGGGCCCCTGGCTCTGCAGCGGCCGTGTGTCCGAGGGGCTGGCCCTGGGAATCACGTGCGGACGTCAGGCATGGAAAACCCTTGGGGAGCTGGACAGGCAGTAGCAGGAAAAGAGCATCAAATTCTATGTGTTGTGCTTGTGAACTTCTGTCCGTTCGTTCGTTCACGGATTCTTTCCTTCACTCGGCCAGGGTGCCCTGAGAGCTTTGCCAGCCGCGGGCGTGATCTACTTCCCGACCACGTTGCGGGCTCGGGACCCCCGGCCCAGCTGGCAGAGAAAGGAAAGGGCAAAGGTCAGCCCTGTGGGCTGTGGGCGACCTCGCACGTCTTCTCCCTCCTGCAGTCGGTCACTTGTGTGAGCGCCACAGGCCGAGCGCCAGCCTCCTGGTCCAGTTGTGCGACGCTGGCCGTTCAGCCTCCCGTGGCCTGGGCCTCACCACCCTCACAGCGAGAAGCGAGGTCCTCAGGTGGTCTTGGGAGCTAAATAAGATCAACGTGTCTGGGTTAGGTAATAAATGGTGGCTCCTTTTCTCTCTACCAAACGTAAACCAACACACAATAAAAGCCACGGCGTCGTGATGTAAGGGGGCAGGTGGGCCCACTCTGGTGCTCGGTGGCTGACGGGAGCAGAGGGGACAGGTCAGGTGCATCAGGAGGCCCCAGGTCCTGACCCCACCGTCCCCACCGACGAGGGGTAACTCTGGGCAGCTGATTTCGTTCCCCATCTTTGGTCCCCTGGCCGGTGGGACGGGAGCAGTGTGCTGACCTCCGTGGGCCTTCTCTTCTCCCCCATTGAGGGACAATCAGCCTCACCCCTACCCTCTACAGTCCACCCCGTGGTCACACAGAGGGGAGCTGGGGCCTCCCTGCAGGTGTCACGGAGCACAGGCGGTTTCTGCCTGCGTCCTTTTCATGGAGAACGTGGCACAGCTTGGGCACGCTAAGGAGGGCACCGACGTCTTAGCTCAGAGACTCTGGCTTCCTCTGTCTGGAGCCGTCGCAGGCCGCGGGGCCCTCACGCCACGTGGTGATGGCAGCATCATGCTGTCTTCAGCAAGTGCTTGCCGCGCATGGGCCCAGCCCCTTGCAGACCTCTCGTGCTCCATGGCTCCTCCTCAGGGGGGCCTCGGGGGCTCCAGCCTCCCCTGTAAGGTGAGCGCAGGCTGACAACAGAGCCGTGATGCGGCCCGGGCACTGGTCCCAGTGCTGGCCCGCAGCCGGGCGCGCGGCTGTGCCCAAACGCTGTGCCACGTGAACGTAAAAGTCTCGGAGTGGGGGGTGTCTGGGTGTCGCCACCAAGCCTTCCCCACCGGCACTTGGGGGAAGGACGCACGGCCAGCCGTGTGCACCCTGCCCCTTGCAGGGTCTGTCCCCGTCCTGCCCCCCCACCCCAGGGACTGATCTCGGTGGTGTAGGTGATAGACTTAGATAATCGATGAGCTGTAGCTGCACGTGGCAACGTGGGCGAGCCTGGGGCAGAAGGTCGAGTAAAACAGTCGAGGCTCAGAGGACTATGGTGCCTTATAAAGTCCCAAACCGAACAAACTGCACAACATATTGTTTAAGAATGCAGGGGCCTACGGTAATGCCAGTTAGGAAACCGCAGGAGACGCACGTTCACGGCCCCAGAGCCAGGCTCCTCAGG